ATAATAATATATTATTATTATTATTTTAGAAATTATTATTATAAAATTATTTTGATTTCATTTTCATTTATTTATTATATTTCATAATTTTCAAAGAAACTTCTGTTTATTTTATATTAATCACAATTATTAAGTAATTGTTATAAATGACATGATTATGGATGTCTATCAATTAGAAGGTTTTATATTGATTTTCTATTTATTACATATGTCATATAAATATGATTAATATTTAACTTGAAATCTACTCTGATAATGAGAATAATATAATACTATTTCTTTCTTCTCTTTTTCTCCTTCGTCTATATTCTTCTAATATATTTCTTCTTATTAATTTCATAACAAGTTATTAACACGAAACTCTACCAAATTTGAAAAGAAAGAAATTGAAGTTTTAACTATTAGAGGTAATATTGATCTCTTTTATTTATCTTATTTGCTCTAAATTTTGATATGATATTATATCTTATTAACTTATGAAGCATCCTTGAAGGATAGCAAAACAATAAAAATATAATTTATTATATAGTTATTGAAAAACTTATAAAGCATCCCTGAAAGATGGCAAAATAACAGTTGTTTTATATAATTTCTAAAAAATTTATCAAGCATCCCTAAAAGATGGCAAAATAACAACTTATTATATAATTTTCGAATAACTTATCAAGTATCCTTAAAGGATAGAAAAATAATAAATTTATATTGTTCATGAAGAACATATGAAGCATCCTCGAATGATCAAAAAATATTGATTTTCTTATATAGTTCCTGAAGAACATATAAAAGCATCCCTGAAGGATAGCAAAATAATAAATTTCTTATATAGTTCCTGAAGAATAGGCAAAGCATTCCTGAAACATAGTATAATAATGAATTTGTTTTAGAATTCTTGAATAATTGAAGAAATGTAAATATTATTATATTATTAACAAGAAGATTTGTGATTGAATTTTTGAAGAACTGCATAAAAAGATTTGTATTTGAGTTTTCAAAAAAATTTATAAAAAGATTTTTGATTGAGTTCTTGAAGAGCTTCATAAAAGGAATTTTGATTGAGTTCCCGAAGAACTATAAAAAAAATTGATTGAATTCTAGAAAAATTTCAATAAAAATAGTTGTTGACTTCCTGAAGAACTAAGCATTTATACCATACATTGATTTAGATAAGTAGTTTAAAATATTCACAACAAATACTATTTTTTTTATCATGAATTATAAAGAATATGTTGAAAGTTATAACAAAATTCTTATTCAAGTGTTCTTAAAGAATTACATACATTCTTTATAACAAAATTCTTATTCAAGTGTTCTTAAAAAATTGCATTACGAATGACACATATTTAAGTATCATAGTAAGAATCGTTGAAATCATGATATTTTAATTTTGATTGATAAAATTATTTATATTTTCAGAAGAATTTAAAATTTAAGCATAATTATTTCAGGAGTCCTTTAAGTTGTTTTATTGTAATAAATAGGCCCTTAAAATTTTTTTTCCAACAATTTGGTCCTTTAAGTTTTTTTTTTGTTGATTTAGGATCCGACTTTCTCTTTTTTGGATGTTACTTTATGTATTTGGGAAGTTAATATATGTATTTTGTTATAACTTTATGTATTTTAGATGATTGGTTTAATCTAAGGGGTAAAAAGATCAACAATGCACATGTTCGTTAATTTAAATGACTCACTTGAAGTAAAAGAAAAATTTAAAGGACCACCCTATTACAATAAAATACATTAAATGATCCCCGATATATCTTTGTTTAAAATTTAATATTATTATTAATAATATATTTTATCTCTATTGATAAGAAAAATATCAATGATGATTTTTATGCATCTTAAAAGAAGTGCATCAATCATGTTAAACAATTCCAAAAAAATTCCATCAATGTATTAAAAATTATATTAAACAATCTCAAAAGAATTACATTATTATATTAAAGAATCATGAGGAAAAATTATTTTGACTATTGCTTATAAATATATGTTTATATATCTTTTGTGATATAGTTTTCAAAGAATTAAAATAAAAATTTGTATGTTTTATATTTATATTTATTTAAACAATGATCAATGTTTATGAAAGAATCATTTTTATAATTTTTGAAGAGTTAATATTCATTGATAAATATTTTTGATTAAAAGCTTGTACATTTTATTTGAAAGTAATGTGAGAGAAAGGAAAATATTAATTACATTATAATTTTATTTTATTGGATTGTATTTATGATTTAATAGTAATTTAATTCTCTCTAATATAATAATTTATTCTATTGGATAATTTTATTCTTGACTTTTAGTTTTATATTAGATATTATATTTTTATATTATATACAAGTAGATAAAAAAAACTAAAATGAAGTATTTTGAAGAGTTAAAGACTAATTTTAAATTATTTTTTAAATTAAGGGACTAAAATTAACCTTGGCGTTAACATATAGGACCAAAAAAATATTTTATCTTTATTTTATAACTATATAGTATAAACTTGCGATTAATTTATTAAAATTGACAAAAAAATGTTTTGTTATTTTTATTCTCTTTGTGTTTTATAAGAAAATAAATCATTCAAATGTGAAGTGAATGAATAAAAACTAATTTATATATAGAGACTTATTTACGACATCGTTTTTTTTCTCCTTCATCTATTTATTTTTTTAAAATTTAATATATAAATTAAATATGTGATTTTTTTCCTTGTGATAGATATTTATTTTTTTAAATATTTTTATATTTTAAAGATAAATCTTAATGTTTGTTTTGAGTGAATAAAATATTTTAAAAAAACTTTCTAATGAACAGATATTACTTTATTTCATTTTAATTTAAATTACAGTTATATGTCTATATATTACTTTAGAATATATATTTTTATTTGGAGTATAATAAATTTTTAATTATATTTGTTCACCATAAATTTAAATGAGTTAGAATAATTGAACTTTTTGGAGTATATATATGATATAAACCAGAAATTTAGATATCAACTTTTTGTTTGTCGTTGGCAAAATCGATTGGATCATCTCCGATGTAATATGATATAAAAATTAGTACTGAATAATCAGAAGTTTCTTCAATCGAATAAATGTGTATGTTCGAATTAAAGATCATGATATTAATTGAGAAATTGAGTATTTTTCATGACATTAATTATTGCATCAAATAAAAAATCATGAATATGTTTATGCGATAACTAGTATCGAAGAATTAGAAGTTTCTTCAATCCCATACATTTTATGTGTTTCTAAAGAAAATTAAAAATCTGAGAAATTAAGATTTTTAAGACATTAATTATTACATCGATTAAAATATCATACAAATATTTATTGTCTACTCCGAACCAAAAATTTATGAAATTTATTTTCTCAGACTAAGATCTCATTTTCTTAAATTTCCAAAATTTTCCTAATAGATATCACATATATTATTAAAATCGACATTGAGCATCTGATAGAACATGCACTATGAAAAAAAACACATTAATTATGATATATATATATATATATATATATATATATATATATATATATATATATATATATATATATATATATATATATATATATATATATATATATATATATATATATATATATATATATATATTAGGAAAATTTTGGCGGTTTAAGCCGCCACAATTAACAAAAGCGGTTTAAGCCGTCATAATTTGGCGGCCGCACTAACTTCCGTTTTAAACATAGTAAAAAATGGCAGTTTATTTATTGAAAATAATGGCTATTTCAACCGCTACATATATCACTTAATTTAGAAAAAATTAAAGTGATCAAAATAATAATTTTAAAAATATAAATTTATTCAGAAACAAATCATATATTACAACTCATATTGTTTCTGAAGACAAATATACATTTATATACATGGGTATTGGTAGCTGTAAATTTCAATTTTAACATATGTCTACTATGCCTTTTTTCTACTATTCTTCTCAATTAGTCCATATTCAAAAGTTATTGATTCATACTTTGTGCCCTTCATTGTCCAGACCGTCTTCATGTTGAAACGTATAGCTAGAAATCCAAACAGAGTAAAAGAGTAATCAACAAAAAGAACTCAACATACAGAAAATACAACTCTAATTTCAGGTTTTAAAACACCATTTGTTGTTGATTTCCTAACCTTAGTAACACCTTTTGATGTTACATTCACTAAAGCTACTCTGGCTGACTCGAATGACTCTGGAGACACATATTGGGGGCAGGGTGTGAGAATAAAGATAAGTATAAGTGGAAAAATATTTACCACGATAAGCATCAACCATGTGTAAAAAACTGTGTTGATAGAGAAGAGCGCACCTTGAAAATTTGCATATGGTTTTAGCACCAAGTTTGGAATCCACCAAAGCAAATGCAACATATGTAACCTACATAAACATCAAGTTCATGGACAAAGACAAATGAGCACAAGAATAATTAAATACAAAGTCATGACTGACCATTTTATCAAGATGAACCGCTGCTAGCCAAGAATCTAGACTATTCAGTACACATTCATTAGTACTGTTTGGTAGAAAAGAAATGCATAAAATATGTCAGAAAAATATTTCCAATTTGGAACAACTAATCTAAACAAATCTCAAAAATCCAAAAATGCAATTTAATTATTTCCTACAAAAGGCTTCACTAACAAATCAAGTAAAGGAATGGTCATGATGTGAAGAAGAGCTAGGGTAAATTGAATGGGGATATGATTCATATGAAGAAAAAGTCATTATGATACAGGTGTGCCCACATTTCCATCTTTATCCAAAAACTTCATTTATTGGTTTCACAAATTTGGTTAGGGTCTATATATCATCAGCACCCACACACGTTAATAGAAATTCTGTTTTTTATTTATTAATGGCTTTGGAAATATAATATTTTAATCACAACATATTGACAAAGTGAGAATTGGTCAAAATGAACAAATAAGGAATCAAAGTCTATCAAAGATTATTGACAAAGTTAGAATTGGCCAAAAATGAACATATCATGAATCAAAGTCTATCCTAGATTGTAGGTAAAGTAAAACTTGGCCAAAATAACATATTCAATTAAAGAATAATTTGATATAAACGAGTTTTTGTGAAAAAGGAAAATAAGAATGCGGAAATTATGAGATATAAATCTTTATTTTTTGCTCAACGATTTTCACAAGGACCTAAGATCAATTTTGATGAAACATATTCACTTGTAGTGGATTCAATTAATTGTCAATAATTAATTAGTCTTGTAGCACATGAAGGGCTTGATTTGAACATGATGGATGTTGTAACATCTTATTTATATGATTCACTTAGTAAGAACATAAAATTGAAAATATATCTCTATGGGCTAAAACAATATGGACGCATGTGGTATAATTGTCTCGATAAATATTTGTTAAAAATATTTGTTAACGGAGAGATATACAAATAACTCCATTTGTCCTAATATTTTTATAAAAAGATATGGCAAAAAATTTCCAATAATAGTTGTCTATGTGGATGACATGAATATTATTGAAACTCCTAAAAATATTTCAAAAGATATACATTGTTTAAAGAAATCGTTTGAGATGAAGGACTCGGGAAAAAAAAATCTTTATAAGGTGAACATTTAGACAATAGAAATTTCATACACAAAAAAGGTTATATAGAAAAATATTAAAATGTTTCTATATAGACAAATATCGTATGTTATGTAGCATAAGTGCAAAAATGTTTGTATATGGACAAACCTCGTATGTCGTGTACCCCGATGATGTTAGATCATTGGACGTGTAGAAGATTCTTTTAAACCTCGAGAAGAGGATAAAAAACTAATTGGTCATGAAGTACCATATCTCAGTGTAATTCAAACATTGGTCTATCTTGCTAATTATATAAACTACAATATATCAATTTCTATTAGTCTATTAGTAAGATATAGTTATTCACCTACACTAAGACATTAAAACAGAGTCATACATATACTTCATTATCTTAAGGATAAATGGAAATATTTTTGTTTTATTCCAAAATATCCAGATTATAATTAAAAAATTATGCAAAAATAAGTTACTTGTCAAATCCATATAATATTACATCACACAAATTGTTTGTTTACTTATAATGGTACAACTATTTGATGGAGACATGTGAAACAAATCATAACAACAATTTCATTTAATTATAAAGACATTTTCAACACTATATAAGTTAGATCGAGAATGTGTTTGGTTGAGATCCCAAACTCAACCCACAAAACACTAGTGTTTGACTTCCGAAAAAGAAATATAACAACCATATATAAAGATAATATTGCGTGCATTTCTTAATTGAAAGATAGTTACAATAAAATAGATCTAACAAAACATGTTGTTGAATAAATATTAAATGTGTTAGTAATAAACTTTGCATTTAATTATGGTAGTAAGAAGGACAATAGTTTAGCAAGTTATAATAGTTATTAGCAGCATTTATGTTTATGTTTTAGAATTGTAAAAGTTTATTTGGGTCTATAAAAGACCAAGTGTGTAATTTATTCAACTAGTGCAAAGTACAAGAGTTTATACAGAATTCTGTTTTGTATCCAACAATTTGACATCAGAGCTCATGGCAAACATGATGAACCAAATGTCGTTGTCACGGCTAACGAAGTCCAATTATGAATTTTGGAGTATTCAAATGAAAGCTCTTCCTGGATCTCTAGACGCGTGGGAGGTGACCAATGATGGGTTTGAAGAACCAACAAAAGTTGGGGGATTTACAGCAGCTCAGACGAAGGCGTTGAAAGAGACGCGAGTGAAGGATAAAACCGCATTATACATGTTGTTCAGGGTTGTAGATGAATCAGGATTTGAGAAGATTGCTGGTTCGACTACGTCGAAACAAGCGTGTGACACGTTAGAAAAGGTGTTCAAAGGAGAAGATCGAGTGAAGCAGGTTCGAGTCCAAACTCTTCGTGGCGAATTGGAGAGGATACAGATGAAGGATACATAAATTGTATCTGATTACATCACACGTGTGCAAAAGGTGGTGAATCAACTCACAAGAAATGGAGAGACAGTATCTGATGCAAGAGTTGTTGAAAAGATCCTGAGATCTTTAACAGACAAGTTTGAAAATCTAGTGTGTGCAATAGAAGAGTCGAAGGACCTTTCGACGCTCTCAATCGAAGAGCTCACTGGTTCGCTCGAAGCACATGAACAACGAAAGATGAAAAAGAAAGAAGAAGTAGACGAAGAAGCAAACCAAACCAAAGAATCGAACAAAGATGAAAAGGTACTCTTTTCTCACAACTTACGAGGAAGAGGACGTGGACGTGGAGGTCGTGACAGTGGTCGAAGTGGTAGAGGTAGCAACTTCGAAAGAGGACATTCGAGCCAACAAAATTGGCGTGGCAGAAGACGTGGTCAAAGAGGTGGTCGTTCGAATTATTCCAATTTCGAATGCTACAAGTGTGGGAAGTATGGTCATTACGCGAAGGATTGCAACTCCTACAAATGTTACAACTGTGACAAAGTGGGACATCTTGCAAAAGACTGTCGAAATGAAAAGAAGACTGAATAGACAACCAACCTAGCCTTGGAAGCTGAATTAAATGAAGGCTTTCTCCTGATGGCTCAAAACAAAATCAACACCAATGACAGTGTTTGGTATCTTGACTCAGGAGCAAGTAATCACATGTGTGGTTACAAACACCTGTTTAAAGACATGAAGGGAATTGAAGATGGTAGTGTGTCTTTTGGAGATGCATTGAAAGTGAAGGTTGAAGGAAAGGGCACAATCAGCTACTTGCAGAAGGATGGCTTGATTGGATCAATCGAAGACGTTTACTTTATACCAGATCTTAAGACCAACATATTAAGTCTGGGACAACTTACAAAAAAAGGTGCTTCGATACTGATGAAAGATCGAACACTGCATTTGAAGGACAAAGCAGGACATCTGATTGCCAATGTCGAAATGGAAAGAAATCGAATGTACAAACTGAACCTGAGGAACATTCGAGAGAAATGTCTGCAAATCGAAGTGCAAGACAAAGAGTCACTATGGCACATGCGCTTTGGTCATCTACATTATGCTAGTTTGAGAAGGTTGGCAAAAAGGAACATGGTGCATGGACTACCAGACATGGACTTCGAAGGAAAATTCTGTGAAGAATGTGTGCTCATCAAACAAACAAGAACTTCATTTCAAAAGAAGGAAGAGTATCAAGCTAAACAAATACTCGAATTAATACATACTGACATATGTGGGCCAATCACTCCAGAATCCTTCAGTGGAAAAAGATACTTCATTTCCTTCATTGATGACTTCTCAAGAAAAACCTGGGTCTACATCCTGAAAGAAAAATCTGAAGCATTAGAAGTGTTCAAGAAATTCAAAGTAATGGCGGAGAAGGCAACAGACAGACACATCAAAGCAATTCGATCTGACAGAGGAGGAGAGTATACTTCGATGGTCTTTGTGAAGTACTGTGAAGAACAGGGCATAAGGAGATTCCTAACTGCACCATATTCACCTCAGCAAAATGGTGTGGCTGAAAGGAAGAATCGAACTATCTTTGACATGGTTCGATCAATGCTCAAAAGCAAGAACATGTCAAAAGAATTCTGGGCAGAAGCAGTACAATGTGTTGTTTATATTCAGAATAGATGTCCACATTCGAAGTTAGAAGACAAAACACCACAAGAAGCATGGAGTGGACAGAAGCCAATAATTTCTCATCTCAAGGTATTTGGTAGCATAGCTTATGCACATGTACCAGATCAACGAAGAACAAAGCATGAAGACAAAAGTCAGAAGTACATATTCATTGGATATGATGAGAAGAAGAAAGGGTACAAGCTCTTCAATCCCATAAGCAAGAAAGTGATTGTGAGCAGAGACGTTCGAATAAACGAAGCAAGCAAGTGGGACTGGAACAATTCTACTGAGATTGCTGACACAGTCGAAGAAACAACTATAGCTGTACCAACAAGTATTCCAGAAGAACATGAAGAAACAGAAGATGGAGATGAACCTATACAACCTAAAATGAGAAGTTTGCAAGATTTGTATGATTCAACAAGTGAGGTGCATCTTGTGTGTCTTCTGGCAGATGCTGAAAACATCAGTGTTGAAGAAGCGTTAAGAGATAAGAAGTGGAAAGGTGCCATGGACGAAGAAATTAGAGCAATCGAACGCAACAATACTTGGGAGCTAGTCGAATTACCAAAAGGTAGTCAACCCATTGGTGTAAAGTGGGTATTCAAGAAAAAGATGAATGCTCAAGGAGAAATTGAAAGATTCAAAGCAAGGCTGGTTGCGAAGGGATACAAACAGAAGGCAGGAATTGACTATGACGAAGTGTTTGCACCTGTTGCAAGAATGGAGACAATTCGATTGCTCATATCTCAAGCTGCTCAGT